CAGTTTGTTCTAGAAGATGGTTGCACATTTAGAATATGGAAAAAGCATACAGAAATTATAGAAGCATGCAAACAACTAGTCAATGATACAATAGATTGACAATATCAGGAAGAAATAATCAATAAGGAAAAGAAATCAATTCTTTCAGAGTTTCTAAAAGTTGTTGATTTAGCAGAGCAGGTATTTGATGCAAACTATGCTGGAAGCCAACTCGCTAATGAAATCAATGAATAGCATCCAATATCTGGAAAAGTAAATGAAAATATAAGGCAAGCCTGTGTTGAGCATAGGCATGGTGGACGCTGGAATGTATCTGATTATCACATCAATAATGTTGTATGTATCGATATGAAAGAATGTTATTCAGCAAGTATGCGAGGTCAAGGAGAATGTACACCATGGTTCAATAGGTTCAGACATCCAACACATTATCTTGTTCGAGTTGCGGTAAATGGAGAATTGCCAGAGAATGATATCACTGGATTTGCGCAGGTAAGATCTTTTAAATTTGCATCAAATATACATTCAGCGATTCCCGTCTGGTACAGAAAACATTTTGTGTGTCGAAGTGGAGAAGGATGTGGGAAAGAAAAAGGATGGACACCTATTGTACTTCTATGATATCTTCTTGAGGTTGGTATTCTAGAAAGTGTGACTATTGGAGAGGCAATAATTTCTCTTACTAAACAGACCAAAGTATGGCTACCTAGAAATCAAGATATTAGTTGTGCAATTATAGGTAAGTTTACACAAAGTGGCAAGATTGATGAAAAACACCTTACTCATCGACTTGTAACAGATAAAGGTGAGCTTGATTTCTTGATCAAAGATTGTACTGATGCTGGAACTTTTGCCAGAAGAGAAAAATGTTCACTCGGATTTATACTTACATATTACGAGGGATATCAACCTCAATATACACATTTGCGGGCCTCAATGTTAGCATATGCGCATATTAATTTGTTAGAGATGCTTTGGAGATTTGATTCTAATAAAGTAGTAAGGATTGCTACAGATTCTATATATGTACGAAAAGAGGCTTTATATAAGATCAAAAATATACCAGCATTCTTCAAGCAAGTTGAGGTAAAGTTAGATCCAAATTTATGTTCATACTATCCTTCTTGTGCAATGTGTACTGATCTAGAAGAATTCTTTATTTCAAAATCTGCAAATAAATGGTTTATATCTTTTATAGTCATATTTTACTAGAGGCGTTTTGGTTTTTTTGGAACTCTTTAATCCATTTTGCATATTCAGATTTTGAAATAAA